ACAAGACTGGTGAACAGTACCTGAACAGTGTCACATTTAAAGCCACTATAAATAGCAGCCCATTTCATTTAGTTGGGGTTGTTGGATCTCAACTGTCTGAACTCTCTCTACTTTCTCTCTTTAAAACTCGTGTAAGAACTCTGTAAGGATTTGTAAGTACATCGCAAGTGCCGACCTCGTACGAGAGGCCGACCTCGTGATCTCTTAATAAAATAGTAATTAAGCCATATTTCTCTGTCTTTTTCTCATTACCTTTCCATTACTTAACTTTTTAACCGTTGACCGGAAACGTCCGTCAACAATACTTAAAGTAAATTCCTATTGCTATTTAATAGTAATAGATTAATGAAAATATATGTTCATGATTATCTCTTTACCTAATTTGGATTTAAAGATCTACCGCAGACCATAAAACACTACAAGAAATGTCAATTTTAACTAGACCAAAATTTCTAGGTAAATCCATTTACCTAGAAAATAGCTAGACAATTCCTACAAATGGTGTTGTAGGTAAAGCGCTTGTTGGTATTTTTTCCCTACATACATACCAATGTCTAGGTAAATTGCCTAGACATTTACTACACAATTGCAACAAATAAAATTTTAGCATGCCAACAAAATACCAACAAAAATATTTGTAGTTAACTATTTGTCTAGCTATTTCCCTATAAATTACTACATTTTACCAAGATATATGCCAACATAATACCAACAACACTCGTTCCTACATATTGCCTACAAAATTTTTAATCCACATTGCTACAAAATACCTATAAACGTTTGTAGTTAAATATTTGTCTAGTTATTTCCCTATAAATTACCTACATTTTTTCAAGATATACGCCAACATAATACCTACAAAATATTTATCTACATATTACCTACAAATTTTTTCATCAACATTACTACAAAATACTTAGAAACTTTTGTAGTTAAAAATTTGTCTATCTATTTTCCTATAAATTGACAACATTTTACCAACATATATGGCAACATAATACTTACAAAACTTTTACCTACAGATTACCTACAAAGGTTTTCATCAACACTACTACAAAATACCTAGATAACTTTCGCCTACATATTACCAATAACAAAATATACCTAGAAATTACCAACATAAAAACATAGCTAGCAATTACCTACAAACTACACTACAAATTACTTAGAAAATTTTTGTCTACATTTTACCAAGAAGCCCTAGAGCTAGTAATTACCTACAAATTTGAAACAGCTACAAATTACCTACATGTTATTACTATCAAGTACCTACAATTTACCTACAAGTTTTTTAGTCTAAGTATTTTGTAGGTAAAATAGGTAGAGATTACCTACAAATTTTAAAAGGGCTACATATTTGCTACAAATTATTATTTTTAAAAAAATAGATATATTTTCAATTCAAAAAGTACATATTAATAAAATCATATAAAAAAATGACAAGAAGCAATAATATACACCATCTATTTTAAAGTAAATTACCCGTGAATTCCAAATGTCTCACGACTATATCGAAAATAACTGATGTCATAAGCCAAGTATCAAACAAGTATAAATCCGTCCTCCAAAACATAACACTCGCATCCAAAATATGATAATAATAAATACAAGTATCAAACAAACAATAAAATCATCAAGTTGTCATTTAGCCTCGTCTCACCGCCACTTTGAGATGTGCTCCCGCAAGACATCATCATCTCAAAACTTTTTTCAAAAGTCTTAAATTGTTGTTGCAACTCATCCAACTTCACTTGCACTTCAGCTCGCCCTTCAACCCTACCTTCCTCTCGAACGTGCTCCAATTCAATCTGGAAGCTAAGAGAAAACTGTTCCAAAGAGGTCTTCAAGCATAAAGATTATTAAAATCAATAAATCTAACAACTTTACAAAAATAGTTTGCCAATATAAATAAATGAAGAAAATAACTGAGATAAATTCTAACTGCCTTGGACATCAAGATAAAAGGTTGATCTAGCATGTACAGTACATATGCTTCCCAAACAAACTAAAAAATAAAAAATCATATAATAGAAAAGTCTTCAATTCATACCATTACTGTTGCAAAAAATTAAAGAAAAATCTTCAGGTCACCACCTTAAATGTTATGTTTTCTTCAATTATTAAATACATGAATAACCATCACTAACACAACAAAAATATATTTGCAATCACCAACAAAATTTTAACAACGTCAATGGACAGAAAATACAGAGATTCCACAAACTCAAACACCCCATAAATAATCAAATAAACTGAAACACTTAAAATCACCACGAAATCTAAATTCTAAGCGTCAACAAAATCACTTGAATGAGAATAAAAAGATAAAACAAAGAAAAGTGAAGCTACCTGTGATGTGCCATAACTCCCGATACTGTATAGGCGTCGTTTTTTACAAGTTCCTCCCACGGCTGTGATATAAAGCTCGTCGATCCTTTTATTGATTTGTTCTTCTTCTATGTTCGAGTCGACAGTCAATGACGGATCATTTGAAATAAGAGACTCCAGCTCCAACTAAAAAAATGAAATGCAAGTTGAGAAGTTAATAAAAAAACAAGCAGATGAATACTTGAATATAGAAGTAGTTTATGACTTACAGCAACTTTCTCGGACCTAGTGTCTGTCCACTTTCCCTTTGCCTCATTCTAGTGTAATTTCTTATAAGCCTCATAATGGGTAGGCTTTCTTCCCAATTTTTGAGTCTGAAGTTAACAAAATGACCAACACCAAACAACAACAACAATAAATTTCTCTAATGTAGACGAAAAAGAATTATGACTATAACAAAATAAGTTTCTTTAATACACATGAAAATTTTACCAACTCTCGCGCATAATTGTCTGCCGACTTGGACCCTCCACTGTGGACAGACATTCCTGAACCGGGTCCATTCACCTCAGTCCGACGATTAGCCGACCGTTTTCTACAGACCTCCTTAAACTCTATTTTATTCCACTCTTTCCAATAGGCATCCCAAATCGATTTTTGCACAGAGGGTGGTTGTTTTTTTGTTTTCCTCAAATGACTCATAAATTCAGAATAACGATACCCGGCATGTCTCAATCAAACATTATATACATTTCTCTCATTATCAGGTGGAAAAGAGAAGGATTTCTACAATTAAGTATTATAAAGAAATTTAAAATTCTTTAAACCAATAAATTAAATGCAATAATCACACTAAGAAGAAATGATCCTTAAAAAATTAATGGGTTATACTTCAAAGCTTTATAAAGTACAAGGTGGATTTATATTTTTAGGGACTTAATATTAAAAATGAAGTTCTAACCTTGAATAACATCCAATACCAATCCAATGTATCCTTCGTCACTGCAGCCCATGTGTAACCCTCTGGACAAAGTTTCTCTTTGAAGAGTTTAGTCATGAAATTTGAAACATCATTTCCCGAATGTAATCTAATAGTGAAATAATGTTTGATAAATTCAGATTGACAAATTACTATAATTATAAATTTATAATATGTGAACTCTTTACTTACCTATCCTTGCCAACAATTTCTACGGGTGTTCGTGAGACTAGAGTTGAAGCCATTGATGATGATGATGATGGCATAGACCTTGATGGTGACAACGTAGCATTACCATCCTCATTTGTAGCATGATCTAAATCATGAGATACCGATGGCGAAGTACTTCTATGATGCCTGGAATCTATAATTACCATGAAATCAACTTATAGTACAATAGATAATTAAATATAAACATAATATATGGAAACTAATAGAAATGAAAGAGATACCTAATAAAGCGTCGGGTAGATCATCAGCTTGATCCAACTGTCCCTCTACTACATCACCTATCTCCGTACCTACTAAAGAGGGTTGAGTAGTTTTCGTACCTAATAAAAGGGGTTTACCATGTGTATGAAAATTGTTAATTCAATTTAGTTTAGACATGATTATTGACTGCAAAATGATATTATACACATACGCGGAGGTGACGCTGAATAGCCACCTCTACGTCCACCATGTGATGGAGTAAAATCAGCCAGTTCCTCTCGTGTCGCATTCCGTATTGCCTCTCGTGCTGCAGCTAATGTAGGATAAGACTTACCTCCACGACCCTTGGCACTTCTTCTCACCATGATACTCACTCTAATCGGTTCATTACTTAATAGTCACGCTCTCTGATAATAATAAATTATGAAGAATCAAAATAAATTCAAAGAACAAAACGACCAGATCAATCTAAACACTCTCTATGCATATGTTCTAAGTTCTAACTCAATTAGATTAGTTGCTGTTTGTGGGACGACACATAAGAAACAAGCAAACAGGTATAACAAATGATTACCGATTTAAATGAAACATATAAAATTTATAAACAAAAACCAAAATACAAGCAATAGGAAGTGAGAAAAAATAAACGCCACCGTCGCAAAATATTTGCCATCAAAAGAAATCCCTAAACAGCACCTCAAATTAGCAACAAAATCGAACACTGAAGAAAAACAGACTAATCAAACTCAAACGAACTCAAGATCATATATACAACTGACATCCGATCAATAGAATGACTAAACATATATAAATGAAGAAAATCACAACCAGAAAAATGAATCCCACATTTCACGGCATATCTCAAATCCCTAATCACACACAAAAGGCACACACGATGGACATTTCAACAGAGCGCACATGTATACACACGCGCAGAGAGAGATGAAGACACACACCCGTACTTGGGAGACGAGTTCAGCGAGAATTTTAGGCTCGAATTGACGGAACAGAGAGGACGGATGCTGGTGGCAGCGGCTGAACAATGACTGTTTGGCTACAGATAATGATAATTAAAAAAGGGTTGGAGTATTAATTAGGTTTTATCACTTAACTGCCAAATGAGTTTTGTAATATCCACAACCAGTTTAACCAACAATGAATAAAAGAGCAACAAGGCGTCATATACAAATTGAAGCCTGTAAACTGATAAAATCCCTATTTTATGTATTTCTTTCTTTTTTTCAAAGAATTGACTGGCCAGCCAGCAGGACGCGAGCTAGCCCGCTCCGCCCTTCTCTTTCGACAGTCTCGGCGATATATATATTATTCAGATAAGTATCCAGGGGCGACAATTTATACGCAGAAAAACAAAACCAAACCAAAACAAAACAGATAAATAAGAAATAGCACAAGCGAAGAACCCTCACGATAAGACGCACCTGATCCTCTCTTTCTTTTTCTTGGGAAAATGTTCACCGGCGGCGAATCCGGCGAGAGGAGACTTTGCGACGGGCTGAGGTGAAAATTTCGAGAGACGGAGGCAGTAGACTGTGCGCGGGAGACTGAAAAATGTTGAGAGAGGTGACTGATAAACCTAGGGCTGTTCGATGGTTTTGTTACTTTTTCGGATTTAATTCTTATTTACCGGAGTTAATAAACTATGTAGTCCATAAAATACAGAGTTAACATAGTGTATTGGTAATCTTGCTCCCCACTTAAATCAGATGTCTCGGGTTCGAGACCCAACATGTGCCTGTAGTGGTAATCTTGCTCCCCACTTTCATGTTTCTTTTTTTTATGTTTTTTTTTTTAATCTATTACTATTATGCTTACAAATGTGTACGTATTTTTCTAGAAATATTTTATAGGTAATGTACCTAGACAAGTTCTCTAGGTAAAATTGCATTTATTTATATGTAATGAATGTCTAGGAAATTAGTAGGTATTTACCAACAAAACATAATGTAGGTACTTTACCTACATGAACATTTGTAGACAAATCTTTGCGATTCAAGATTTGTTGAATATGTGTAGGTATCTTCCTAGAAACATTTTGTAGGTAAAGTACCTAGAAAGATTTTTTAGGTAAAATTTCATTGTAGGTAAATACCAACAAAATAATCTAGTAGGTACTTTACCTACATTAAGATTTGTAGGCATATTTTTTTGGGATACAATTTTTGTTGGTGATATGTAGACATTTTCCTAGAAATATTTTGTAGGTAAATACCTAGACAATATTTTCTAGGTGCAATTTAATGTATTTATATGTAATGAGTGTCTTGGCAATTTGTAGGTATTTACCAACAAAATATTGTTGTAGGCATTGTACCTACATAAAATTTGTTGAAAATTTTTCATGTGTGTTAGTATAGGAAATGACTAGGTAATTTGTATAAATTTTTTTGTAGGTAAATACCAACAAATTACCTACATATTATTATGTAGTACTTTTATTGTTGCTAATTTGTTGCTAGTTTGTTGTAGAATTATTTGTCATTAATTTATAATGTTTTGTAGGTATTATCTTGGTAATATATTGCTATTTACCTAGAAAACAAATGTGTAGGTAAATTTTGTAGTTATTTGAACATTTTCTTGTAGTGAAATTTTAGGAAAAGAATTTATACAAAATTTAAATCGAATGCAAAAATATTTGGGCATAAAAATTATGAAATAACAATCTGAGTTATAGGTGATGCCTAATGTATTATAGTATTGCGTAAAATAATTTATCGTATTTTTATTATTATTATTTTTTTTGAAAATTTAAATTTGGAAGCATAAAATTTTGAAAACATGATTTACGATAAAAATGGTAGGTTTGAAATGATAGAATCTAAAATGTAAAAATCTTGTATAAAAAGTATCAATGGTTGAATGCTTAATATTTCAAATTGGACATTTGATAACGTGTTTCACACGATTTCTTAAAAATCAAAATTATTTTTACAATATTTTCTTAAAAGGAAAATCAACCATTTAATTAAAAAGTCAAAGTAACTATTTATGTACTTTCCAACAACCTTTTATAGTAGTATAGATGTAATATACTCATAGTTTTAAAACTTGACGGTGATTAACGCAGGTAATTCGTTTTATAAAATTTTAAATTGTATTTAATATGGGATACAATATGTCACTCGTTGGGTCATTTACGATCTAACAATAGCCTGAGTGGCTCAAGTCGACCGGTAGGTCGCCCAGAGGTCGGACAACAAGAAAACTCGAGGTCACTTAAAGTATCAGGTTGGTGATGAACTCTGAGGTAGAGCGGTTCAGCAACAGGTTGAGCTAAGATTCTCAGTTAATCTTATGGAAACGTGATGTGGAAGTGAAGAGGTCGACGTAGGACCTAAAAAACGGACTTACTCATTGAAGACCAGAACGACCCATTTCAAGGGAATTGAGTTGATGGCATAATTAAGCTTGGAACAACTATGTAATGAGATAGGCTAATGTGAACATCATATTAGAATTTAACAGAAAAAAAAAAATGATATACTAAATAATATGTAGTTTGGTAAACATTATTGAATGGTCGCAGATGCATGCAGGTAAGGTAGTAGATCTGTTTGAAACACATGACAATCACATGTTCATCTGCCTAAATCTACCACGCAAGATCGAGTTTTTTCTATAATCATATAACGTTGCATTCTAAGTGTGGTAACGGATAAATTACGACTTTCCTCAAACGATGGATCCAACCGCAATTTAATCCACTCCGTTAGCATTTTGATCATCTGCGGCCTGAGAAAATGAACTAGGGTTTTTTCAGTATGTGTAAATTAACTGCTGAATACGTTTTTTTAATCGTATTTTTTTTTTTTACCTTTTCTAAAATATAGTAAAATAACTAAAAAATAATATTTGTATATGGTATGATATTATTTGATTTTATTGAGTCCTATTCTTAATAAGGATTTTACTTGAAAAGGAATCTTAACTGGATAAGGAATCCTAATAGTACAAACAAATATTTGACAGATAAATAGAAAGGAGCAGAAAAGCAGTGAGATGAACAAGACGCACGCACACAATTTTGATTGAAGAGCTTAGACTGCAAATTTCATGCTCAGTGCACGGACTACAAATTATATATTGAGGGTACACGGATGGACGCAACAACAGAAGCTGAATATATAGAAAACATTTTCTTCGTGTAGCAAATGTTACGTGAAGAAAGCTAACACGAGTCATCCGAAAATCATCTGGGGCTCATATTCTTTCACCTAATTCATCAGATATTTTTTCTTTTCTCTTTTATTTTACTTTGTTCGACTATTTTATTATGAACACATTCAATAAATTTCTGTTCAAACGTTTGAGTCTAAGTTTAGTTTTTCTTTTCATTGTTTTACTACCTGCGTTTGAGGATTTGGATTGTATGAATTATTTCCTTGTGAAATATTTTGGCATGTTACTTTAGTCTACAATTGCTCCTTACTTATAGGCTAATTTCTAACTATTCGAATTCATTTATTGTAGTTGCGTATTTAAATTTGAACTTTGTGTGAAAATTTAGATATTTGGGTACCTAAAATTCTTACAAGTGGCATCAGAGTACGTCATTTAGTTTATTAATTGTGATTCGATTTTGTAAGGTACGTATGTGACATGGGATACCAGACCCTGTAGAATAAACCTAATAAATCAGTTTACCAAACCAAGTGAATTGGCTGGTCGAACAGGAAAGCAGGAATGCCGTCGGTTGTCGAACGCCACCAACACGGGACCAGGAGTCTTTAGATAAAGGACAACACCAGTGGTATTAGAAGGAAACAACAGGTCGAGCTAGGGCCCTCGGATGGCCTGCTGAAAACTTGACATGTAGGCACGTCTGGTCCTACGATCGACCAGAAAGGACAACACTTGGTCGATAAAATTTTTAAGGAGCAATTAGGCCAGAACATGGAGGTCTATGTCGACGATATGCTAGTAAAGAGAAAGGACGAGGTTGACCACATAGCCGATTTGAAGGAGACGTTCACTACGCTGAGAAGGTATGTGATTAAATTGAATACGGCCAAGTGTTCATTTGGTGTAAAGTCTGGAAAGTTTCTGGGGTACATGGTGACTAAAAAAGGAATTGAGGTGAATCCAGAAAAAGTTTGGGTTGTATTGAAGATGCGACCACCAAAGAACGTGAAGGAGGTACAAATTCTGTGGTCGAATAGTAGGACTCAGCAGGTTCATTTCAAAGGTGGCTGAGAGGAGCAACCCACTATTTAAGACGTTGAAAAAGAGCTCGACGTTTTTGGACCAATGAGACGCATAAGGCATTGGAGCTGCAAATAGTGTTGGCCGATTTACCTTTACTAGACAAACCAGTATGCTATAGGACCTGATCTTGTATGTCTCAATCAGAATGCCAGCATTTAGTTCGATCTTGTTGAGGTGCTCGGAGATGGAGAAGGGTGCATTAGTTATGGTCGTAACGGTAAGAAAGTTGCAATCATATTTTCTTACACACAAAGTCAGTGTAACGACTAATATGGCTTTGGGAAAAATTCTTGGTCGACCTTCAGTTTCAAGTGTATTGGTAAATTGGGCAGTGGAGTTGAGTGAATATTCTATTTCTTATGAACATCGGAGGGAAATAAAGGCCTAGGTGTTGGCAAATTTCATTCAAGAAAGAACCAGAGTGGGGGTCGAATCAGAAGGAAGGTGGCAGCTGTATGTTGATTGTTAAGTGTCGAAAGGAGGAGCAGGGCCAGGCATCGTGCTAATTTCTCCCAAGGAAGACAGTTTGGAGTTTGCGACTAACTGGTATTTAGGGTGTCTAATAATGAATGGTATGAGGCGATAGTGAAAGGTTTGCAGCTGGACATAGTTGGAGGTGCTCAAGAAATCTAAGCTTACTCGAATTCACAGTTGGTCGTGGGTCAGTTCTACGAAGGTTTCCAGGTGATAGAGGAGAAGATGCGAAAGTAAATTGACCAGATGAAAGACTTGCTGAAGGAATTCACATTTTTTGAGCTGATACAAATTTTGATTGGAGAGAACGGTCAAACAGATCTCTTGTCGAAATTGGACAAAGTTTGGTTGATTGTAAGAGCCAAAGTGTCACTTTGCTGCATATGGAAAAAAGCGTTGCCGAGGTTGATGTAGCCGAGGAGGTCGAAGACCGAAAGGGTTCCCATTCTGCGTGAATTGATGAAAGGAAACTTGAAGTATGTCAACAGGTTTTTTGAGCAAGGAGGAATCATATACAAGAAGTCATACTTTGGGCCACATATAAGGTGCATAACTGAGGAGGAAGGTTGATATGTGCTGA